CCCCCCCCTCTTTCTCCGATCAGAATTCAATATTCACCTTCAGACTCTTCGTCTCCCCCGCCCTCTGAAAGACATCATACGCCTTTTCAATCTCACTGAATTTGAAATCTACCGGGATAGACCAAAATTTCATCAACACACTTACTCTCCGCCTCACACGACATGATGGGGATCAAGAGCAAATAAAAAAAAAAAAGAAACTCACCATGCGTAACCATCAACCCCCCATCAACCTTACCCGCGACGGCCAGATCCAACAGCGTGGGGATCGTATGCGCGCTGACGAGCGCCATGGAGATGGAGATGCTGCGGGACCAGAGTCGGTGGATCTGCAGGTCGACGGGTTGGCCGTGCACGCCCATGTTGGCGATGTGGCCGCCGAGGCCGACGAGGTCTTGGCACATTTGGAAGGTGGTGGGGAGGCCGACTGCTTCCTGTTGATGGGGGAAGGGGGAGGAGTGTTAGTAGGTGCGGTAGTAGAAGTGGAGTGGGGAGAATTGCGCGAAGAGGGAGGAAGGGAAAAAAGGGGGGGAGAGTTCGATATGTAGGGGGGGGGGGGGGGGGGGGGATTTATGCAAACAAAAACCACGTCTAAACCGACACCTTCGTTCCATACGTGTTCGGAGGCGAGGGAGCGGATATCGGAGACATCCCTAACGTTATAGGTATGTGTCGCACCAATCTTCCGGGCAACTTCGAGGCGATAGTCATCCATGTCGAAGAAGACCAGTTTGCGGGGAGCGTAGAGTTGCGCTGTGATGCCAGCCGCGAGACCGACGGGTCCTTTTTAAAGATTTCAATCTCAATCGAATGCGTCGGGTAGGTACCTTAGGGAGGGGAGAAGTTGGGGGGAGAACGTACCAGCCCCTACGATAGCCACGGTGCATCCCGGGGTGACTTTTCCCCTCAGGGTTCCGACTTCGAGCCCAGTGGGGAGGATGTCGCTGAAAACCAGGAGACTCCGCTCGTCTACGCCCTCGGGCACGGCAAAGAGGGAGGAATCCGCATATCGAATCCGCACGTACTCTGCTTGCGTTCCGTCGTGCGTGTGGCCTAGGATCCAACCTGCCTTGCGACAGCTGTCGGCCATGCTGGTGGAGATCGAGGCATTTTAGCCATTCGCGTTTCGTAACGAAGTGCTGGTCTAGGAGGGGGAAAGAGATATCGATCTACCTTTTCTTGCAGAAATTGCAAGTCCCACAGCAGGTGATGCACCGAATGACGACCCGGTCACCCTTTTTGAAATTCTTCAATTCCGCGCCCGTCTCAGTGATGACGCCGATGCCTTCATGGCCCAGTGTTCTGCCTTTCTCGACCGTAGGGACATCGCCTACCATGATCCGCAATGAGCATTTCGGTCTCTTTCTGACACCGGAATCGAAAGCTACCTTTGAGAATATGCAAATCAGTTCCACATATCGTGGTCCGGACAAGCTTGACAATGGCATCGGTCCCCTCCTGGATCTTCGGAATCTCCTTCTCAACGACTTTCCACTTCCCGACACCGTCGTAAGTCAAGGCCTGCATCTTGTCCGTGGGTGAAAGGTTGCGTAGCTTTGAGAGGAACTGCTCGTGCAGAGGCGAAGAAGGAGCGAAAAGGGAGGACATTGTACGTGTGGAAGCGGAGAAGCTGCTTTAATGGTGGTGCACTTCTAAGAGATCTTTCATCGTTGCGGACGCTCGAGTTCCTTCGTGGAGGCGCGAGGAGTACGTCTCCTCATGTCGGTTCATCGGAAGGCGAATGCTGCAGGGAAGATACAGTCCGTTGTGCTCAGAGGTCTCCACCACTCGAGGGGCCAGGCTTATAATGGTGCTGCTCGCTCGAGTCAGGGCCTTTGCCAGATAACGCCGTGGACACGCGAGACCATATCACTCCGTTTATTGACATGGCCTTGATGGCATTTAATGTCGCAGAGCGTAGTGGGTGTGGCATGTACACAGTAGTGAGCCCCGCAGCGCCCGCACGCCCGCACGTTACTTGCTTCTTCAATGCTGGTCCAAAGAACGGGGAAAGTGAGGAGAGCTGCGATGCGTGCTGACAGGGGTCGGGGTACATAGCGGTACGTACAGACAATAGTGTGGGGTTGACGTGCGGGTGAGATTCGTGGACTCTTTCGTCAGAATGGGCCGTAGACTACCCTATTCCATCCGACAGACATGCCATTCGTACGAACCATAGGCGTTCTCGGCTCCTACCCAATAAAGTCAACCGTAGAAGCTCCGTGGATGCGTAAGGCCGTAAGCGTCGATAGCAACTCCCGGAAGAAAAGCCAGAGATTTTGACACCAGAACTTGATCTGTTAGTCATGTACGGAGGGAGATATCAATGATGAAAGGTACCAATCCGTCGCACAGAATGTCTTGGCTCCATATGAAGGTGCATGTCCGCATACAACTCGAACGAGCGCGCCTCGGGAAGATGTCCAGCGTTACAGCAGTGCGGCCTCCAGTAGTCGTCAGGTCACGAACCTATGAGACATTCATTGCAAAGACAATATTTCCAATGCATTCGAGGATCCCGAGTCGATGTCCGCCGGACGATACGGACACGACTGGAAAGAAGTTGTAGTATTGTGTGTTTAGAGGTGAAGTTTTTGTTCCCTATCAGAAGAGAAGAGATGGAGGAAAGGGTCGTGCGCGAGTCCGTGCGTTGTCTCTTGGGACGTCGCTTCGTCTTCCAAGTCTTCACAATACATGAACATGTCCATTACAGCACCAATTGGGCGTCTCAGTTGGGAATTGGTAGCAATACTTGCCAATGCTTCGAGACAGATCAATGTTCCGGCGACTGCGAGAGCTTAGGCTACCACCAGAATCGATGCGCCAGTGCTACCAGTATCCAGAATGCTGTACTATGTATATGTTGGTAAGGACTGACAGTGAGAGTAGCGAGAGTTGAACAGGTGCTTGTGTGTAACAGCGTTTCGGTGGACTATATGTTATATGATGCCTTTGCCCGCAGGGTATCGACCGACCAACCAGCGCCACCACGCTCCAATCATCATGACGCGCAGCATCGTCTGCATATGGCCTAAGCGACAAACTCCTCCGCGCGAGTCCCAATGAGCGATCCTCCCAAGATACCGCCACTGCTGCTGGAGCTGGCATTGCTTCCCTCGCCAGAGCCAGCAGCGCCAGAGGTGCCGGAGCAAGTAAGTTCGTTGCAACTGCTGCTGGAAGAGCTGGAGCTGTCTCCTCCGCTAGCAGAGGAGCCGCTGCTTGAGCTGAGGCCGCCGGAAGTACTGCTGGTGCTGCTGGTGTTGCCGGCGCTGCCGCATCCGGAAGAGGAAGCCGCGCCGCCCTGGACGTTGTTCTCAGCTTCGGCCTCGCATTCAGTCTCGCCGTCAGCGGTGCTGGATGGGCCTGATGGGTCGTTGGTTGCCGTGGAGGTTGCGGCGGCAGAGGTTGCGGCGGAAGCGGCGGTAGATGTTGTGGGGGTGGCCGAAGAGGTTGGAACTGCCAGAGGGAGAAGGGCTCGGGCTTCCAAATCTCGGGTGGTGTCAACCGGCAGGGCGGATGTGACAGAGAAGAGTCCTGCTGAGAGGAGGAGGAGAGGCTGAGTGAAGCGCATTGTAGCGAGTGGCTTTCAAAGTGTTCGTTAACGAAGGTATTCTTGGAGTGTTTTGATCTTGGTGATTTCCAAAGAAGAGCACGGCATTCGATGCCTACTTATACACCTCCAGCGACTCTTCTTATTCACAATTGCCTGTAACCCGCGGCTTCTTCGTCGCCTGCTTTTACTTTGGTCACATATCCGAGCGCTCCCTAGCCTACGAGCCGGTTCCGCGGCCATATGATAGCTTGCGGAATGTTGTGAAGCTTCTGCTAGCCCTGCAGGAGAACATCATGGTCAGTGGCGAAGAGACATAGTGAGTGACATGAGAGACTGTTCGGTTCTTTGGTTCCGCGTTGAGATGCTTGGCAAGTTGCTCGCAGAATCTTGATATGCTGTCGGTTGCTGAACAGCCAATCGAAGGGCTCTAGCCAGTTCCAAGGTCGCAAGATGCATGGATCTTCGCCCATTACCAATGCTTTTCGGAGGCAGTAGCAGCCACGGGCAGGCAGTGAGGCCTACATTGTTCCTGAATGCGTGCGTCGGTAGGTCAGACAATTCGCCACAGCCTCGCGCTAGGAAAAGTCGACTTCGAGAGGATATGCAGCATGTACGTATACCGCAAGGCTCATGCGACGCTACTGCTGTCAAGAGCACTTAGGAACCTTATCTGCACACAGAACTGGCTGGGGACTTGCAGACGTTCCCGTTAGCGTAGCTTTTGGTGCCTTCTAGCTGCGTTTGATATTCTTTTCAATTCATCATCCATCGGGGAGTGCACGAGCGATGCAAAGGGACTCCTCCCGTTTTAGCTTGGCAACCATCAGCCTCAATCAGATGGTTCCGTCTTGGCAGCAGCTTGTCGGAGCTTCTTGAGCTATTACATAGCCATTACACCTGTGTTCTTGTCCTGGAGCGTCCTATTAGCGAGGTGACATCTCCCGCGGAGGGCATGGAGGCTGTGGCGTTGTCAATGCAGCGTTACATCTGAACACGCAAGTGGCTTGAAGGAGCATCAAGAGTAGCCATGAGGCCTTATTTGACTACTGTCATCCTGTCGGTGGCTACCCGTAGGCGGTATTGAAGGTACTCTACCCGACGACCAGGTTCGATACAGATGATCCGCCTGTTCGGCGTATTACTGATCGGGTGTAGTCCTCGTGAGCTCGCACGAGTGGTGCCAGACGAGATCGACGAGCCTGGTCTGGCGGACATGCTGCCGGATGCCCGAGGGCAAGATCTTGTCCGTTGCTCTTCGGATGGGGGAAGATGAAAAACTGTTCTGTGCCGGAGTGAGTACATCGGGCGCAAACCCTAACCCTTTAGGGCAGCGGAACGGACCGTTTGGTTTCATGACCCCACTTGCACATGCTCGAGGGGTTCTTGATGACGGGAATCCCTGATCCCTCATCAGTTCTCCTCTCTACTAAATCGAACAACCTCGCGCATTTTGCGCGGTCTGCGCCTGACAACTACAGGCACAGAAGGGCGGGCCGTGTCTCTGCTCCCTCTAGCAACCAGGATTCCATCAATACCGAGTTCGATAAGGAAGATGGTCCAGGCACCACGTCAGATGGTAAGAAGACCGAACACCGTCATAATCAACTGCCGTTGGATTGCATCCTGGCGAATTCCATCCATCGTCGGTCCCTATGGCAATGTTCCATGTTCTGGTCAGCCTCCCTAGTCCCATGGTGCCTCGAGATTGCAATTGAGTCCGCGAGTGGAGCAGCTTGAACCAGACCGCGAATCTCCTTTGAACATGCTGAGCACACTGTCCTGATGTAAGGTACATCGGCTTTTGTCACATGAATGCGAGCACCCTGGAGACTTATTCATCTGCGTCACCCTATATGTCCGCCAGATAGCGAGGTGCCGGAGTCTCGCTGGTCGGATTTTGCCTCAGCCGGCTGTCTTCTGCATGCTTCACCCGGTCTCCTTCTAGGTCTACCCAGCTCATAAGCCATGTCTTCCGCCATACCGCAGAACTACCAGACCATAAGTTCAGAGTCGGTCACAGAACTGCAGCGATACTACAGCTCACTTCCCAGGCGATACCCGAAAAGAGCTAGTCTGACCACGGCAGAGCTCGATGGGTCTGGTCTTTTGCGAAAGTTCCTCGCATCATACTGCGCTGGTTGGAGGATGTACGAGCCGTTTCCTACATCCGCCACACTTCAATCCGATCCAAAATCCGGTTCACAATTGCACCTCGATCGGCGCGCTGGCAACCGAGCACCATGAGCACCCAAGTGTACCACGATCCTTCGTATATGATGGAAGTCTGGGGCATTTTCGGCGGCTGCTTCTTCATACTCGCTATTCGACATTTTGTACGTTTGCGAACGGCTGGACTCAAAGCGTACCATGGGGACGACTACATATCCATTCTAGTAATCGCCTTTCTCACGAGCGGCTGTGTCTGCATAACAGTCGTGTACCACAAAGGATCGAATGTGGACTACATTGGAAAGTCTTTGGATCAATTCAGCAATGCACAGATACAAGACATTGTCTATGCCTCCAAACTGCAGAAGTTGTGTTGGTACACATACATTAGCTCCATGTAAGCAGATCATGTTCTCTAGAGGCCGGAATACTGATTCTCTACCAGCTGGGCATTGAAAGCCTGTCTGCTGTTCTTCTACAATCGCCTCACATTTGGTCGAACCCAGCGAATGCTCGTCAGAGTTCTAGCCGTGGTATGTGCGGTTACGTACGTAGCCATGGTTTTAACAGTGTCACTGTCATGTCGACCGTTCCACCTCAATTGGCAGGTGGTACCATTGCCGCCAGAACACTGCACTGTGCGAAGACAGGACTTGTGAGCGCTCTCGACCCAAATATGTGGAGCCCATCGAGCTGACACGTCTGCTTAGTATAGTCTGCACCACACTCAATACGGTCACCGATGCACTCATTCTCAGCATTCCGGTCCCCCTCCTGTTCAAGCTGAGAGTACCCCTATACAAGAAGATCCCGCTAGGCGTTCTTCTCTGCTCGGGCATTTTTGTCATCGCAGCGGCCGTTGCTCGAGGCTGTATAACAGTCCTCTCCCATCCTTCGGCTCTGACTGTCAACCGCTGGGGGGCAAGAGAGACCATCGCCGCAATTACAGCTGTCAATGCGCCCACTCTCAAACCACGTGGGTAGACCGTTCCCGATGATGCTCTAGGCTTGGCTGACCGAGATCAGTCTTCACCAAGTCGTTCTGGGTCCATAGCAGTCGCTGTAGCACTTCCGGCCCCTCCACTGCCGATCCAAATTCCGATTCAAACACGCGAGGCAACTCCGACTCATACGGAACCTCCCGCACCGGGCACTCGAGCAAGCTGAGCAAACTCAGCAAGATCAGCGGCGTCTTCCCCCGATCGAGCATCATCGGACTCGTCAATCTGTCGACCAACAAGACCGCCGTCACAACGGTGACGAAAGCAGAAAGCGAAGCACTGGGCAGGCAGAACGAAATGACACATTCCTATGCGAACGAGGGTCAGAATCTCATCATCCGGCGGCCGGAACCTGCCCGACGAAGAGAGACGATTCTGTGCTTGGACTTCGACTTGGAAAGAGGTCCACATCCGGGGATCCGAAGGGATGCGGAGCTGGGCGTAGTCTCGCGAGCATCATCGGAAGAGCAGCAGCGAAAGCTCGAGCGAGCCGAGACAATGCCGGATTCGAACAAGTATACACCCTACTGTAAATCGCACGCGGCGCCGCCATCAGCAGATGAAGGACAGGCTGCTGGGAGGATTGCGAGGATACGCAGCAATACGGTGGGTTGACAAATGATTCTCAAGAGCAGAGATATATCGCCGGGAATGACAGCACCGACCCGGGAGTAGATACCTCCTGGCAGTGCACCATACATTACTTGCTGCCGGTCATGGAGATACCATTGGAGGAATTGACGAGATTGGATGCCTGTCATATCAGGTCTTGTTCGTTGGAAAGCGCATACAAACATTTGTATTTACATTTTTTTCGTCCTTCGCATCGTTAAAGGCCGCCGGATTCAGCCTCGAGGTGAAGGGAGTGAGCCTGAGGCAGGTAGGCGGGCCTTTCGGCCCGTCCCGTCCCGTACCGTCTCTCGGTTTCGTCCGATCTTTCCAGTACACCGCCCACACTACCGCACCAATACATCTGTCTGCTAGTAAGTACAAATCCCAAAGCAACGAGAGTACAATCCAGAGCTCTGAAATCAAGCTCTCGTCTTCTGGATATGGTCAATCGCCTCCAGCACTACAAAAAGGACAGAGTCAGCTTCTCAAAACCCACCCCGACCCAAAGCTTTTCAGGACGACTTACCGTAACCCACAAAGACCTTTGGATTCTCCGTGGCAGGGAAATGTCCCAAGCCCTTCATGGCCTGGTGCTTTCCGCCGGGAATCTTATCGCACGTCTTCTGCGCCATCTCCGGCGTGTTGCTCCAGTCATACTCCCCCGTCAACATATAGACCGGACAGGCCTTCGTATCGATGCCAGCCATGCGCGTGCGGCCATCAAACCCACCGAAGTCTTGAATGTTATGCCACTGAAAAGTAAGTATGTAGAAGGGTTAATTTCCTCTAAACCTAGGCTGCCTAAGGTATACTTATAGCTGCCTTGACAATAGTAAGTCCATTGACATCCGAATCCGGTTACCTTCCTTTGAGTCGGTAACTCCGTAAGCCACCTCGCTACTACCTTCTCGGTTCTCAGGTTCCCTTTGTTTAACACTCCCCCTACCTGAGAGTTTCGATGTCCTCTAGGTTTTTCTTTAGCCCTATAAGTTCTAATAACTCTAGGTGTCTTAGTCTTAGTAGTCCTTTAGTAAGGATGTCTACTATATTAAGACGAGTGTCGATTCTTTTCATTTCGATAGTCCTATCCTTAACGTGTTCTCGTATAAAGTAATGTCTTAAAGCAATATGCTTGGTTCGTACGTAGAATTCGGGATTCTTCGACAGCTTTAATACTACGTTATTATCGATAAAGATTGTTATTAGTTTTTATAGGGAGAAGTTAGAGATACCTATCTCGTATACTACTCCGCGCAACTAGATTGCTTCTTTTATAGCTTTAGTCGCTACTATATATTCGGCTTTATAGCTTAATAGAGCAACTGTCTTCTACCGTTTAGAACTCTATAATACTAGTCCTCTATTAATCTTAAAGATCTATCTATAGGTCGACCTTACTGTATCTATATAGTTAGCCCAGTCGCTGTCGTACATCCCGTATATGTCGATAGTAGATTGAAGTCGGGTTCTAGCTAGGTAGAACAACCCTATGTACTTGCTTCCTACGATATATATAAAAACTCTTATCGCCGCCTTAACGTATTAATTACTCGGATTGATTATATACCGCGCTAGCGTACCTACTACGTACGAGATATTAGGCCGCGATATAGTAGACAGATAGTTAAGCGATCCTACTATTGCCTAGTACCTTACTATCGTTCTTTAATCCGCTACCTTATACTTAGAGTTAGTTAACTTTAGGACTATAAGGTCTACTAGAGTAGTAACAGGTTTCAGGTTATTTAGGCTATACTTGTTAAGTATCTGTTAAGTATAGCTTACTTAATAGAGATATGTTCCTTAAGGCGTAATCTATACGTACATTCCGAGGTAGTATATATATTGTCCTAGATCCGTTATGTCGAAGTCGCTTCTAAGTTTATCTTTTGTCTCTTAGATTGCTCGTTAATCTAACCCGAAGATATTAATATTATCTACATATACTGTTAGATACAGTTTTCGTCGACTATAAATAAAGAGTAAGTTATCGAAGGCGGATGCCCTCTATCCGTTCTTTTCTAGTAACTGAGATAGTCGAAGATACTACTAACGTAGGGCTTGTTTTAGGCTATACATAGATTTCCGGAGTTTAAGTACCTTGCCTAAGGCTTCCGGGAATCCTTCTAGTAGTTTAATATATATGTCTTTATTAATCGTTCTATAAAGGAAGGCTGTTTTCACATCTATCTAATGAATTTCCCAGCCTCGTTAAGTAGTAATAGTAAAGAGCATTTTGTATAAGGATTGTTTAATTACTCTAGCGAAGGTTTCTTTATAGTCTAGACTATAGACCTGTTCGTAACCTTTTATAACGAATCGTACTTTGTGTTATACTAAGTCCCTAAAAGGGTGTCCTAATAATAGTTTTATATAGGTATAGCTGTAGCGGAAGGTGTCTACAAGGTAGGCAGGTAGTAGGAACTAATGTGTTAATTGAGTTAATTATCTAGAGCGATATATAATCCTCCTAAACTTAGAGTTCCTAGCTATAGGTCACATAACTAAATCATATAACTAGCCCTATCTAGTACAGCCGCTAAGGACTG